CCTTGAGTTAGAAACAAAATGAGAAAGGAAAAGACTCATATCACCATCATCACCATAAAATACAGCTCTCACTTCAAAGGGAAGAAGAGAGAGTTTATTCTTGAACTACATGTGAGTAACCTGGCCCAGGAGCACAGATTCAGGTTACCACAAATACCATGTCAACACGGTAACAGTTACATGAAGTTTTATAGTTACAGAACCAAAAGTAAGCCACTAATTAAAGTACTTTCCAAATTTGTTGGTAGATACATCTGGTAGGCAGGTTACAGCCAAATAAGGAAAACTTTGCTCCAGATTTCAGATGCTATCTCATGACATTTTTGACTTTTAGGTTGGTGGAAGCTAGGAGTCTGTTAAGTTAGTAGATCCCAAAAGGTTTCATGTGATAATCACAAGGGTCTTAGGTCAGACACAAAGATATGCAGTGACTATTTAGATTGCTAGAGACAGCACAAAATAATCTGGCTCTAGATCAGCAACACTCCAGTTCTCCACAATGAAAGTTCTAATCAGCCTGGTAGAATCTTTAACATAGTTGTGTTTTTGTTTTTGTTTTTGTTTTCTGGGAACTTCAGTTCACACCATATATGTCCTTGGACACATTGCCTAGGGCATGTTCAGGCTAGCCTCTCCTGCCCCCTTTCCCTGGTCGTTTGATGTGAAGCTGTGGTGGGATCTATTTTTACAGAAGAACCACTAAGAAAGTTTGTGAAAGTGTCTGCTGAGACCGGAAAGGCCCCTTCAAATATACCTGGGTCTTGGGTAGGTCAAAAGGTGAGTGGAAACTGGGCAGGAGCTAATATTAACTGTGGACAGAGTCTTTCTCAAAGACAGAGACTTTCTCAAAAACATAATTATATCACATCTTAGGCTGCCAGTGGTGTCCTGGTGGTTGTTGGTGTTGGTGAACTTGAAGCTGGCATCTCCAAGAACTGGTAGACCTATGAGCGTGCTCTTTTGGCTTACTCACTGCATGTGAAACCATTCATTGTTCATGTTAACAAAATGGATTCCGTCACACATCTTATAGGCAGGAGAGAGATGAGATCATGAAGGAAGTCAGCACCTACAGGAAGAAAATTGGACACAACCTTGGCACAGTAGCGTTTGTACCAATTTCTACTTGGAATGGGGACAATAAGCTGGAGCCAAGATGCCTTATTCAAGGGCTGGAAAGTCACCAACAAAGATGGTAGTGTCAGTGGAACCGTATTGCTTGGAAGCTGGATTGTATCCTACTTATCTCTCCCAAGCCCTTGCATCTGCCTCCTCAGGGAGTCTAAAAAATTGGTGTTATTAATAATGTCCCTATATACTGAGTAGAGACATCTGTCCTCAAACCCTCCCTGTAGACATCTTTCTCCAGTCAGTGTCACAACTGAAATGCAGTCTATTGAAGAGCGTCATGATGTTTTACATGAAGTTCTTAGAAATGATGTGGGCTCCAGTGTCAAGAAAGTGTCTGTTAAAGACCTTTGATGCAACAACATTTTTGGTGAAAACAAAATGACCCATCAAGGAAAGCAACTGGCTTCACAGCTGGGATGATCCTCCCAAACCATCCTGACTGGATTGGCCTTGGTCTAGGCTCTGGGCAGGCACACAGTTCACATTGCAGGCAAATTTGCCAAGCTGAAAGAAATGATTTATGGCCATTCTGGTAAGATGTTGGAAGCTGAACCTCAATTCCTGAAATCTGGGGAAGATGCCATAGCTGATGTTCCCAGCATGCTCATGTGCATGAGAACTTCTCTGTCTTCTAGAGTTGCTTTACTTTTTGTGATATGAGACACAGAACTGCTGTGTGTGTCAGAACAAAGGATAGCAACACTGCAACCCTTTTTGCGGGGCATGGTGGCACACGCCTGTAGTCCCAGCACTTGGGAGGCAGATGCAGGTGGATCTCTGTGAGTTCAAGGCCAGCTGGGTCTACATAGTTCCAGGACAGCTGGGGCTACAGAGAGACCCTGTCTCAAAAACACCAAAAAAAAAAATTTTTTTTATTTTGAGACAGTTTCAACTAAGTTACCTTGGGCTTTTTTCCCTCAGCTGACCATTTAAGTTTAATAGCAAAAGACTGGTTAATGACAACAATAAGTCATGAAACTTTCAGAAGCGAAAGAGGGTATTTTTCAGACCACTTGGGGATTTTTATGTGTGATAGTTTTATGTTATTCATTTTTAAAATCAGTGCCTCAAAGTGGAAGCAACTTGACCAAAAAATCTGTCACAGACTTTTGTAAGCCATTAAAACAAAGTTTCATGAGAAAGAAAATCTTTCCCATAGTTGGGAAAGACTCTGCTTCATTTATGTAATTGTAATCCACATACATATTAGCATATTAAAGACTCTAAGCTATCTTTCAGTAGCATAGAACTCTGCCTAGTCCACAGTCACATGACCACAGGCATCTTTTCCTTGTGAACCTTCTTTAAAATAGTGGGGAGATAATTGAGATGGGAATAATCATCACCACAGAGAGACAGCAAGTCCCCTCTCATCTGTAGATGTACTAGACTGGGTGACTCCAGGAACCAGCTGGCCCTTTCAGAGCTGTCTCTTCCCCATGTCCCACCTCTGAGTTCAATCACAGTAGACATTTTCTTGTCACGTCCAGATACAAGCATCCCCGTTATGAACACATCTTTTGACAATGTACAGCAGGTCCAACTCTGAAACTCAGGGATATTAGTTCAGAAATATGGGAATGTCACCAACCCCAGGAGAGACCCTCAGTCAGCACAGAACAAGGAACAGAGGGCAGATGGGCTAATGTCCTTCTTCCAGATAGATGACCTTCTGCCTACAACTCGAAGGACCTGACAGTGACCTTGTTAACACCTCCTTTTCTTGCTCTGCAGTTTTGCCTCCTCTGTCTCTTCCTCTTATAGCTAATACTTCATTTATTCTTCAACAAATTGCACCCAATTTCTCATCTCATTTCTTGTTTTCTGGGGAAAATCACATTAACACAGGTGTAGCCCATAGCTCATGCAGCCCCCAGTCCGTTCTGTTCTCCAGTTTCCCTGATAGTGAATATCAAATAATATTTTAGAGACCTTGGGAAATGATGCCTCTAGGCACTACAGCCAGATGATTTGGAGTCTAACAGGCTCTAATCTCAACTCACCTCATGTTTCCTTGTCATCACAGAATAATCCCAATTACTATCAGCAGTTGATGTCAAGTTCAGCACAACACTGCTTAGATCAGCCTCTGCTTGTCATATGTTTATCTGGCCCCAAATGACCCTTGTGATGGTGCCTTGCCTCCATCTGACCATCTCCCTGTTTTCTGCCATTATCTGTCTTCTTTCCCAGACATCTTTGTGCTGATTGCCTCTGTGCCAGTGGTTGCTGTAGGAAACCAGGGCAATGTCCTGGCCACCTCCCTGCGAAGCCTCCGCTTCCTGCAGATCCTGCGCATGCTGCGGATGGACCGGAGGGGTGGCACTTGGAAGCTCCTGGGCTCAGCCATCTGTGCCCACAGCAAAGTAAGTGCCCTGGAGAAGCCACATGGGCTTCTCTCCTACCTGTGCCCTTCCATGGTGTCCCTGAGGAGTCATACTGCCAGCCCTGACCATGATGGTGATAATGACAAAGAGGGAGGAGGAGGAGGGAGACATATGCAGGTTTAGAGAAGACCTGGGCCACAGGCAGACCTGGGCTTGGGTCACAGCTCCACTGTATACACATTCCTTTTGTTAAATCACTCACCAATCATCAGTCTTCAGCTTCCTCATTTCTAAAATAGAGATGATACTTTATCCCTCAGTATGGACAGTAATATCTGTACCTCCACATGGTCACAAGGGTAGAATGGGCTGGCACAGACAGCATGTGATGAGAGAGAAGTCTCACAGACTAATTTGAATCCAGTTCTAAAATACATTCATTGCACCTGCTCCAAGTTCTGTATTTGAATCCTCTGAATACTCAGAGATGCAGAGATGGATGCTCATGCTGCACAGGGTTAGTCTTTTATAGCTTATCCTATAGTTAGAAGAGGCCAGGCACTGTTCCCAGAACAAATAAGTCCCAGGATCTCTGCCAGTCTGGCACATAGTATTGACCCTTGTTCCCAGGGTCTGAGATATCCTAGTTGGGGCTCATTTGTCAGAAAACTGAGCCCTGAACCACCAAGGTAGGGAAAGAGGACCTACACCTCCTGCAGAGTGAATTCAAAAAATGGGAAAGTGGAGCTAGAGAGTTGACTCAGTGGTTGAGAGCACATAGTGCTCAGTGTTCAGTTCCCAACACCCATGTCAGATGGCTCACAACCACCTATGACTGCAGTTCCAGGGGATCTGACACACTCCTCTGGTCTCTACAGGCATCTGCACTCACATGTGCACATGCGCACACACACACCTGTGTGTGTGTGTATGTATGTCAGAGAGAGAGAGAGAGAGAGAGAGAGAGAGAGAGAGAGAGAGCACGTGCACATAATTAAATATAAAAGTAAATCTTGGAACAACAACAACATCAAAAAAATGAATAGGAAAGAATTTCCTCCCAGCACTTCCCAGCACTGGTTAGACACCAGTCCCTTAGCTCTAAGGCTGACTGCCAGGAGCCTTAGCATGTGGAGGAGACAGTTTCTGCCACAGAGCTGCTGACAAAAAAAAGTTATATAAAGTCGGGATTACCTTGAATAGTGTTTTAAATGACTGCAAAGCCCATTTTAACTCCCCATTGCTAACTATTATACAATCCCTTAATAATCTAGCACAGCCAGTTTATCAGCATGCTGCATGTGAGCCGACAGCTGTTTCCTTAGCTAAGCATCAAATGAAGCTTCTGACTTGCAGCTGGAGAGCAGAGGTTGTGAGCAAGCAAGCACCAGAGCCGCATTCTATGAGGCAAGAGGCTGGTACTCAGACAGCCTCTGGGGAAGAAATCACAGTTTCCTTTTCTCCATTTAAACCTCCTTCATGGCAGATCTGTTAGAGGAGAACCTCCTGCTAGTTACTGGTACCATCTGACCTCGCTTTCTGCTGTAGTGTGAACTCGCATGAGTGTGGTATGCTTGTGATGCTGTGTGGGAGGCAAGACTATGGACAAAGAAGATCATTGGGAAAACAGTGAAGATACAAAGGACACAGGGCTGACCTCTATTGCTTTGGCACTGCTATTACAAAATACCAGAGAGAAACACGTTAAGGGAGGGCAGCTTGATTTTGACTGTCAGTTTCAGAGGATTTCAGTACATGGTGGTGGGAAGGTGTGACAGAGCTGCTTAGGCTGTGGTGGCAGAAGTGGGAGATGGAGGCTATTCACATCACAGCAGACCAGGAAGCAGGGGCTAGGGATAACTTTCAAAGTCCTGCTCCTAGTGGCCTGCTTCCACCAGCTAAGCCCTGCCTCTGCGGCTTCCCACATTAGCACCACCAGCTGGGGAAGATGAAGATTGTGCAAAACCTGAGCCTGTGAAGGACAGTCCAGATTCAGACCATAATCCTCTCTAATATGGGAAGAAAGTGCTTTAGGAACCATCATAGTGAAGGTTTCACAAGAAACCAGATGACTGGGGGCTCTTCAGGTGGCCCTGCAAGGAGGGCGACATGGACAGCAAGGCCAGCATGAGCCAAGGTACTATGAGAGGCAGGAGGCTACCCTGCCAGTGAGATTCTCCTCACCCAAAGGCAACAGGCTGGCAGTAGACAGAGAACTATGCCAACAACTTTGTTCTCTGAGAAACCACAAACCTCACATCCAGATTATGTTCACGCATAACCTTGTCTCCCTCTTTTCCTACAACCCACAACATCCCATTAATTAAAGATACAAATAATGTCTGTGTTCTTGCTCCCATTTTCCAGTGATGGGAGGTGAGAATCAGAGAAGGTAGCTTACCTACAGTCTCAAGGATGGTAAACCTAGACTCCAACTTCAGAGTGTCTGGCTCAAGATATCCCAAAGGACTTCCTACTGACCTAACTCTTCTCTTGTTCACTGCCCGACTGTTCCAGGAACTCATCACTGCCTGGTACATCGGTTTCCTGACACTCATCCTTTCTTCGTTTCTTGTCTACCTGGTCGAGAAAGATGTGCCGGAGGTGGATGCACAAGGAAAAGAGATGAAAGAGGAGTTCGAGACCTATGCAGATGCCCTGTGGTGGGGCCTGGTGAGTCACCTCCTTGAAGCGCAATGCTCTGGAGTATGGAGGCTGAGTGCTAGATACACAGGGAGGTGGAGGGCATGGCATGGGTGCATCAGGTCAGCTGCATTCTTCAGTAAAAGGAAAGAGCTAGACCTCTTCCACCTCCAGATCGACAGAGAAGAGACAAGAAACTGCAGTCAATAAGGAGTACACCTGAAACAGAGTTTTCCATAGTGTTGTGGAAACGAAGGCTCTTAACACTCTGTTTCCATGGGTGTTTAGGGACCTGACCTTATTAGTCACAGTCATGTCATGAAAGTAAGCGTAGTAACAGACACACGTGTATGCTCACAAACCTGAAGACACACGCAAAAACGTAGTCACATACCAAGGTATTAAAGCTGACATTTACTGGTCTTGCGTTGCTCCTTAGCACCACTCTGAGCATACTATACATACTAATATACTGGTAGAAATTAATCTAAGACTTCTCAGACACTTGAGATTTGAAAGCAGGCTCCAGAGGCCACAGTGTTATGAGCTATGTCCTGATAAACATGTAAGAACACACTGGAATAAACTGCACAGAACGGACACATACACAGACAGACATGCGTGCATAGTGATATCTACAAATACACTCATGAGCATAGTTCATAAACACTGTTATACAAAAATATACACATTCACAAACATAGTCGTCCCTCCAAGTGAGGAGGGAATTGCTTTCAAGTTCTTCCTCTCCTCTGAAGACACCAAAATCTGCAGATGCTCAAATCCTTTATATAGAACTTTGTAGTATTTTCACATAAGCCACACACCTCCTCCTGCATGTGTAAATCATCTCTTCATTACTTGTAGTGCCTAATAGAATGTAAATGATGTGTAAATAGTTTATATGCTATAGTCCTTTTTGTTTGTTTGAGACAGGTTCTCGCTATAGCCCCAGCTGGCCTGAAACTCATTATGTAGATCAGGTTGGCCTCCATCTCACAGAGGCCTGCCTGCCTCTGCCTTCTGAGTGCTGAGATTAAAGGCATGAGCCACTATGCCTGGCCAATACTATAGTTCTCATTTGCATTATTTTTATTGCTATATTATCAATTTTATTGATTTTTTTCAAATATTTTTGAGGCATAGTTGGTTAAATTCCAAAATGGGAAATCCATGGAAGCAGGTCAACTCTGTACACACACATACACACAGACACACACACACATGCATGAATGCACACGCGTGTTATGTTTTTGTGATTGCTGATGCATCTGTATAATTAGGACATCTCTAACTTAGAAACAGGATCCCACATAAGTTGCACAGCACTCGGTGTCTTCTCTCCCTTGTTATGAATAGGAGCAGCACCTGAGCAGGCACAGAAGCTCACAGGCTGTGCTCAGTTGCCATGTCACTGAGTCCCTCTCTGAGGAACCCTGTCTGAACTCTTCTCTCTTTAGATCACACTGGCTACCATTGGCTATGGAGACAAGACACCTAAAACCTGGGAGGGACGTCTGATTGCTGCCACCTTTTCCTTGATTGGTGTCTCCTTTTTTGCCCTTCCAGCAGTAAGTACCATAAGTGTATGACAGGAAGCACCTCCTCCTGCTTGGACCAGCTCAGGTGCCCAGCCTCAGCTTTCGAGCTTTTGCATCCTAAGCTCTAGACCTTGTCACTTCACTAGCTATTCCCTTGCGTGTGCACCTCCTTGATGGCTAAGGACTGGTCCCTTTTCTTCCAAGACCCAAGTTCAATGTGACCTGCTTCAGGCTGAGACAGTTGCTTCCTCTTCTGGGCCTTTTGACTTCATATGGGTCTGCATGTCTCCATCTCTGGAATGGCATCTTTGAGGGCTGGGGTTCTGTCTTCATCCATGTATGCCCAGCACCTTAAACAGGGCAGTATATTCATGTATGTGAGTTCCCTTTCTTTGACTTGACACTTGCTGGTATATGTATAATTCATTTCCCTCAAGACTGACTCTTGACATGATAGGATATTCTCCTCAAGTTTATTCCCAGAGTGAAATAATGGCAGTTTAAAGTTGATGGCTCTTATTGGAACATGTGCCAAAGTCACGTCAAAGGTTTTGCCTGCTTCATATCATTTGATCTTAATGCCAGCACTGTGGGTTCAATGCTGTATTGATCTTCATTTTCTAAATGAGAAAGCTGATGCTAGTAAACACTCCTTGGCTGTGAATCCCCAGTCTTGCCAGTGGTAAAGCCTGGCTCCTCGTCATCGAGCTAGAAGAACATTCTTTTTGTTTTTTGATTGATTGGTTTTGTTTTTAAATACCTTTATATAAGTTCTCTGAGAGTTTTATGCAATGGAGTTTGATCATATTCACCCCAACTCCTCCACTTAACTATTTCCCGATCCACCCCCACTTCCCTACTTGTCCCAACTTCATTTCCTCCATTTTTAAAAATAATCCATCAACTCCAATTTGTGCTGCTATTATGTAGGTCCTCCACTGGAGTGTGGTGGACCTACAGGGACCACACTCTTGAAGAAAACTGACTCTCCCTCCCCCAGAAACCATCAACTGTCTGTAACTCTTCAGCTAGGGGTGGGGGTTCATGAGCCCCTTTTCACTCCATGTTAGAATGTTGACTGGCTTGATCTTGTGCAGGTCTTGTGCAGACAACCACAGCTGCTGGGAATTCATGAGTGCAACTGTCCTGTCATGTCCAGAAGAAACTGTTTTGCTCTGGTTTGCTCAACCTCTGTCTCTTAAGCTCTTTACGCCTTCTCATCCACAGTGGTCCCTGAGCCTTGAGGGCTGGGTGTGATATAGATGTCCCATTTGGGGCTGAGCACTCCACTGGCACTGTGAGTTTCTGTGTTAACCACCGTTCACTGCACAAACAGAAGAGAACAGTGTTAAATTGCAAGCCCCTGTTGATCTTGCTTCCACTGCTTTGTTGGTGAATTTCTTGCCCCAACTTGTCTGCATTTTTCTCAGCTATTTGACTTTGATTCCCACCTTCCTAAACCTCAGTTTTTCTCATTGTTGAAACTGGGGAAGGACTTGGGGGGTACTTCCTTGTAATTCTTCATTTCAGAAAGTGTGTGCTTCTATCTGCTTAAAACACATGCGTGTCTGGCCTGGAAAGCAGAGCAGGTCCAGTTCTCAGATGTTTTGCCTATAGCACACATCCCAAGAAACAGTTCAAGCAGCTGAAATATTTTAAACCTCAATTATCATTTTCAGGATATCCATTCTGTGTCATGCCTATGCTAAATAGTTCCTATTTACTATCTTTTTTTTTTTCCCCTGAGATCATTGCTGGGTAGGCTTTATGATCTGATGGCTCTGTGGAAAAAAAAAAAAAAAAAAAAAAAAAAATTAAAAAAAAAAAAAAAAAAAAAAAAAAAACAAGATATATCACAGATAGAGCCTTGTCCAGGGTCCTATAACTGGACTGTGGCCGTCAGAATTGGATGTCAGGTCTTTCTGGCTTCAGACTTACTCCACTTAACCAAACTTCCTACTCTCTGTGGGAGAAGGAAGGGATCATCCTCTATTCTGTCCTTCATGAAATATTGCCACTTCAAGATCCCTTTTCTTATTCATCAAAATACCTGACAAGAGCAACTTAAAGTTGGTAAAGTAAGAAGAAGTTTATTTTGACTCACACTTTGAAGGGACGAAGCCCATTATGGCAGGGAAGGCATGATGTTAGGAACAGGTAGCATCAGGTCCTATTACATTAGCAGTCAGGAATCAAATGGACAGGAAATAGGGCCAGGCTATGAAACCTCCAGGTCCTCCCTATGTAACCACTTCCCCCAGTGAGGCTCTATCTCCTAAAGGTTCTGCAACCTCTTCAAAAGGACCACCAAGATGGAAACCACATGCTCAAACACATGAGCCTGTGGATAACATTCATGTTTAGAATACAACAGAGTGTTATTGAGCCCTACATTCCCTGCTACCTCAGCAGAGAAGTTAGGGTGCTGGAAAAGCCCAGTGGGGCTGACATGGGCCTCACTTCTTGCAGGGCATTCTGGGCTCAGGACTGGCACTCAAGGTGCAGGAGCAGCACCGTCAGAAGCACTTTGAGAAGAGAAGGAAGCCAGCTGCTGAGCTTATCCAGGTCTGTTTGCCTGGGGGTGAACTGACATGGGGCCCAGGAGTGTGGAGAGAGGGGAGAGGAGAGAGGGAACACATTTCAAGTCAGGCAAGGGTGGACTCACATATACTCCTTTTGTGGGTGGCTATAGACACCACTGTGACCTGTGCTCTGTATGTGTTGAAAGTGAAAATCTTACCATTTTCCACCCAAATTCTAAGCCACTCTGAAAATGGACTCAGAATTCAAGGATGAAATCATCTGGGGTTTTTTCTGATAATTTTGGAGTGAAGACTTTGACTTAGCTGTGCTGCTCTTAGCCTCCTTCTCATTCTTTCCACCCCAGACTTGGCCTACCGAGCCGTAAGAAAGAGATAGCACACAATCCAGGTACTTGTTCACTCATTCAGTGAGTTACAAGGAGTACTGTGATCCCCTCATGCCTGCTAACAGGAGAGAGAGGAGAGAGGAGGAGGAGGGGGGCAGAGAGAGAAACAGATATGTACAAAATATTGACTACTTTACCCACTTGCCTTGCCTCTCAACAATCATGAATCAGGGAATGTTGGACACTTGTCCATCACCCTCACTCCCCAAGCCTTGGGGCAGAGAAGTGACAGGCATAAGGCAGAGGTGTTCCTTCTTATACTTCAGAAGTTTCTATTTCATGATTATATGGGCTGTCAGGAACGTGGGACATAGTACGTAGGAGCTTACTGAGCGCCCACTGTGCCTACCTGAGTTCTGAGGGCATGTCTACCCACCATGAACTCGCATTCAGTTGTAAATGGGTGTTTCTGTCAATCTGTGGGCCTAACCAGCATGGATGACACTTGATGACATCCCACATGGTGTGGTTTGTAAGCCAGTCCCCAATCTATAGGAGTTTGCTTACTCCTTTATCGCCTCAAACACCAAACCATCAGAATATCCCAAAAATTCTAGCATAGTAGGGTCAAAGTCCCCTTCCAGGCTCTCTCTTATATTCAGAAGTGGCACAAAACACTGTATTTATTTTCCATTTAATTGACTGAACAGTCTCAAGGAACCTTCTAGAAAGAACAGTCACTCTTCCTTTCAGAGATTTTACATACTCTTCTCTCTATTCCAATTCATCTCACCATGTCCCAGGCTATCACAATACCAGCTGTAGTTCTCAGATGGTTTAGGAATTTTTTTCTTCTCAGAGAAGTTTCAAAAAGCCAAGAATCTAAGCTTCTCTGAATATTGGCTGGGTGGATATTCAAACTATTAAGAGTCAAGTTGTTTTAGTGTCACAAGATGCTGTGTGAACATTTCAGGTGATGCTCACGTCATTCTTGGCCTTTTTTTCTTCTCCTCAGGCTGCCTGGAGGTATTATGCTACCAACCCCAACAGGATTGACCTGGTAGCAACCTGGAGATTTTATGAATCAGTCGTTTCTTTCCCATTCTTCAGGCAAGTGGTCCCTTGTCTGAGTGCTCAGGGTGTGGCTGCCTCCTGCCTCCCATGGTCTGCATTTGTGTCATGGTCTGTCTCGTGGTTTACTAGAGAATGTCCTTCAGGGCAATGGGAAATGCTCTCCAATATGAACCACATATTAGGAGTTTAAAAAAAACCCTGAAGCCAGGTCCCACTCTGGCTAATTAAGTCAGAATCCTCAAAACTGAGGATAAACATTAGTAGAAGTATTTAAATTTCTCCAGATGATTCTACTGTGACGCCAAAGGGGAACAGTTGGGAACTATTAAATACTGGTATGAGCAAGATTAGAGGGCAAAGGAAGTTAGGAGTCAGCACAGTCAGCCATTTAGCAGCCTGGTTATTCCCTCACCTGGCCACGGCTTACACCCACAGACCACTATGAGCATCAGCAAAAGGAAAGGGGAAGAGGAGGACCACGGAGACCTCTGGACACCTCTTGATGGTGTTTCATGTTCTCAGACTTGGGAAATTGAATTAAAGACCATGGGGAGATATCCATTTCCTGTGGCCAGCATAAGGAAAAGAGAGAGGGAACTTAACACGCACTAATGTTTATTCTGTTCCAAATATCCAAGTATTGTTTCATTTAATCCTTACAGGTCTTCTGGGACAAGTCAGGGGTTTTCAAATGTCCAGGTGTGCTAGAATTGAAGGATTATTTTGAACATACAGTGCTATCATGCACTTTCAGCAGTTCTGATGGAGGTGTGTTGGTAGAACCATCTTGACCAGGAGCCATGGTTTCATCCAGATACAATGGTTCCTGGTGTACACTGGGTAGCTGACTGAATTGTTGATGCTACCACTCTACTTCAGATCAGTCAACTAAGGCTCAGAATCCTTGGACATTTTCATCAATATCTCCTGAAGCCCACACTCTTATCACTGCCTGGACTCTAAAACAGGCCACTCCTTTTTAGCTTTTTGCTGCTGTGGTCTTGAGCTCAGAGTTTTAGATATGGGTAGATGCTGGACTTTTAGAACCCTGAATTTGTAAGAAAATTAGGGATGCAATCAGCTCTTTCCTGGAGCTATGGCTGCTCTGAAGCACATTTCCCCAGCACATCTATCATTTCAGCACACTATAGCACAACCCAATAGTGGATGGATGGCTCTCTCTACCCCATCTCAGTCTCTCAGGTACTCAGTGTAGGACTGTAACTGACCTTTGAACACTGCCCCCATTTATCCCTCTACTCTCATCTCTAGATTGTGCTAAAGATTTAAGGAAATAAAGCCGGCAAGATGGCTCAGTGGGTAAAAACGCTTGCTGCCAAGCCTGATGACCTGAGTTCTATCCCCAGGACCCACATGGTAGAAGAGAGAACAAATGCTTGCGAGTTGCCCTCTGACCTCCACACACAAGCGGTGGCATCCATACACATGCACACAATATGTACGTACATACATACATACATATATACATACATACATGTAGTATAAAAAGATTTAAGGAAATAGAAGAGATTTGGGAAGTATTGACTCATTGCTTTATTTCAAACCTTCTGATTGGTGATCATAACAAAGATATGAAAATCTAAAACTTGACCATCACCTTCAGGACTCGCGATCCCAGGCCTGGCCAAGCTTTCCCACCGGATCCCCCCACTGGGCTTTTACTTCTCAGGAGGTTTGGTGGCATGAGTCAAGGTAAAATAAATAAAAAGGGAGGAGAGAGAGAGAGTCTGAAAAGGCAAAAGGGACCAATGCCTTGTGGAAGAGTTAAGGAGCAAGAGAAATGAAGCCTTAAATAATGGATAAGTTTGGTTTACTGTGTCTTCTAACATAATTAGATTCAGTTGCTCAGATACTGTGTTCCTAAACTCTAGTCCTGCTATAATTGTTTAGAGTTCCTAACAGCATAAATCAGAACATCCCTAGAATGGGCAGGTATCTTCCCCTTAAGAAAATAGAGTGACCTTGGACTCAAAAACGCGAACATGTACACCCAGACTGAATGTGGAGCCAAGCTGATTTTCATTTGCTGTGCATCCCAAGGCCTTGGCAATAGTCCTATTCTTTTTGGTTGATTTATTATAAATAAGGCATTGTCCTAGCTGTCAGACACTTGAGGACTGCATTGTGCTGCAGACAGCTGCTATGATGTGGGGATGGCTTTTAAACTAAGAGAACATTTCTTTCCTGTTTTTTCAAGGACAAAAGTACAAAGTCACTAGAGAAATTTCACTTAGCAACCATTCAGGGAACAAGGCAGTCCCTTGGGAATAGAATGTCCCTGAATTCTAACCCACGCCATATGCTAACAACAGAAAAGCAACTGGTACACGGGTGTGTCCTCACCTGCCTCCTAAAGGAAACTTACCTTTTGTTTACTTTTAGCAGTAATTTTATTGAGATACATTTCACTACCCTTAGGAGGATTCCTCACACCGTGAAAAGCACCCTGCTAATTTTGGTGGGTTTGAGACTATTCACAAAGTTGAACTTTATTCTACACATTAATTCCAGAATAGTTTCATTGTGTCAGACAGAAATCATATCCCCATTTGCAGTTACTCCCTGTTCTTTCCTTACTCCAACCGTAATTTTATTGAGATACATTTCACTACCCTTAGGAGGATTCCTCACACCGTGAAAAGCACCCTGCTAATTTTGGTGGGTTTGAGACTATTCACAAAGTTGAACTTTATTCTACACATTAATTCCAGAATAGTTTCATTATGTCAGACAGAAATCGTATCCCCATTTGCAGTTACTCCCTGTTCTTTCCTTACTCCAACGTCTGCAAGTGCTTTTATGAGTTAAAAATTGGAACATCGGTGTGATTGATGCCTAATGTGTTCCAGCTAGTACACACTGGAACAGAGATTGGAACCCAGTTTTTTCTGCGAAAGCCCATGTTCTTCCCATTGTGTCTCTGGGAGGAAACAGTTATTTTAGAGAGAAAATTGTGTGAAAGATGAGGCAGGGTTGTTTCTAAAGGGGATGTTGTTGTGAGGGTAAGACAATGGTAGTAGCTGCCGTGGTACCTGGTCCGTAGCAGGTATTCAGTCAATGATGACTGAGCCTGGGATGGAGGGACCTATGAAACACAGTAGGAACGAATCAGGAAAGAAAGATATTGAGCTCCCAAATTATAGCCTTATGAAACCACTGTTAGTAACCCCAGAGCTGATACCCTGTCTAAAATGAGACCCAACCCAATGGACTTAATGAACGACTAAAACTATACAAGACAGAGGATTCCATACAGAGCTGAGCAGAGGCTCAGAGTCATGAATATGTGCCTAGGGTGCTGACCTTGTCATTACAGGGAGCCATACTACTCTGGATTTGGATCCTGATTCTGCTGGGTCCTAACTGAGAGTTTAAGCAATTTATTTAACTCCTATGTCCCTCAATTTTCTCAACTGGAAAATGGTGTAGTAATAACACCTCCTAGGGTTGTTAGAAGGCTTAAATGATGAATCCATAAATAGTACTGAGAACAGTATCTGAGGAGACATGAAATGGGTATTGATCAGCCACCATTAGCAGTGGGGAAACACTGACCATGATGGTGAGGGAGGGGATGTGCCATTCTTGATTTCCTGATATGTCTCCACCACAAAACAAAGCCTGAGTCCCATAATGAGGTCTGGAGTAGAGTTGGTGCTCAGCAACCACCTTCCGTTTGAACAAATGAATGAATGGACAGACGAGAAGAACCCAGGAGTACAGGAACAAATGGTGGCAGGAGGGGTCTGGGCTGGAAACCTGCCCCTCTTTGGTTCCCTTTCATACCCACCATCTTGTTCCAGAACTTTTCTTCGCTCCAACTGCTCTACTCTGCCTTCCAAGGGAAGCTTTGAGGCAGACTTTGGGATAAGATGCAACCATTTCCCACTGTTTATGCTTTGTTTAATTTTTTTCTCCCTCTTTTTGTAGGAAAGAACAGCTGGAGGCGGCCACCAGGTACCTTTCTGATTTTGAAGTCCCTTCTTTGACCACTGTTTCAGGGAAGAGGGTTCATCTCTTAAGGTGGACAGCTGCTGGACAGTCCAAGCTAGCCTTTGGACCTTACCCTGTTTTTCACCACCTAGTCCTCTGCCATTTTCATGGGGATTTAGTCAAGAGCAACTTAATATGAATAAAAGCAGCTGCTGCTTACCAAGTGTCTCCTCAGAGCTGGGCTCTGAACATGTTATCAGATCTGAATATTAAAATGTTATCTTCATCTGTTTCTTGGACTCACAGATGGTATGTAAGACAGCAGCTAAAGGCTGTAATTCATGATCCCCTCAACCACGAGGCCTTCCAGCAAGACATACTCACTGCATGCTCCTGGAGAGGCAGCAGGAGGTTCGGGGTTATGTGTGACTGTTTCTCTCTGCTCCCTTCCTACTCCTCTGCAGAAGATTATAGGGTCTAGACCTTATTCTAGATTATAAAGCAAGCTGATTCACCTCCTAGACAGAATATTATGAGATGTCATCACACTAGGCAAAGCAGTGCATGATTTTAAACTTATGACATACTTGTTTCTAGATCTTTCCATGTAGTATATTAGACTGTAGTTGCCTACAGGTAACAGAAACCACAGGTGATATGGAGGGTGTAATGTACAAATAAAATATCACTGTGCATTGGGTTTTCCACTCCTGGTTTAATTAGAGATCAAATAAATGCATTTGAGGCTTTCCAGGGGGTATTCCTCCCGGCGTGGAGAAGAGGCACTCTGAAAGCCAGCTATCGACTTGTTCATGCCTTTGCAGGAACCCTCCACTCTGCCCAGGTGCAGTAGGAAAATCTGTTCCATGAGCTCTTAGGGTTAGTGTTGGGTGTTCTCTGGCTTATCCTCCTCAGAGGAGAGGAAGGTCAGTTATATAAGCTACCCAACCACTTTCATCCAGTTTGAACAGCAATCAGGTAGAGATCACAGATTGGTAAATGAGAAAACAGGAACAAATGTAACCACACAGCCTGGCATTGGGTGAAAGAGATCTGGAGGAAAGGTGGGCTCAGTTCCTTCACCCAAGAAGGCAGGGACCAAGGCAACGATGGACTGCTCAGCAATGAATGCGTGCCATAGGTTAAAGCTCACTTGTGTTCATTAGCTACCTTGTGATTATCTTCTTCAAAAGGCTGTCAATCAACTGATATTCCAGTATTACTTTTTTATCTCCAAATTGACAGTTGGATCTGAAGTTTATCTTACTGCCTCCTTCTAGCACAGGAAGCCCACACATTTGTTTGTCAACTTGAGGAAACAGTTTTGTTCTCTGTGACGTACCAGATCCAATGCAATCTTGAGGGTAAGAAAAGGAATCATTTAGTTCACTTATTGGTGGGAACTTGAGTTCCTGTTTGCTTATGAAGTGGTTGATTAGTTAGGACGATCTTGACTGTTTTGATTTATGTGGGTTTGTTTGAAGAACATGAGCCCAGTTGAATTCATACAACTGAGGAGGTTGGCTCAGATGTTACGCTTCTTTCTCAGGGTGTGTGATTCTGAGGTCAACCCAAAGGAAAAGAGCCAACTTCCATCATAGGCCACTGGGAGCTGAATATGTGACATACCATCTTGTTTGATTCTCATAAGAATGGGGGTAGGTTATACCTCCATCCCTTCTTACCTCATTTGAGTACCTCTATTGTGGTGGCCTTGTACATATATCCCTTGATAAACACTAATATATATATATATATATGGATATATTTTTTCCTCACCTTTAAGCCATGAGTTCTTGAGGCTTAAACTATGCCTGAAATATAGGATATACCCTACAATATTTGCTGAATGAATGAATAATCTCTCCATGTCACTTTCAAGAAGTTGATCTCCCTGTTCACATACCTCCCACCTCTGTCAAACACAGAAACAGTTAGGGTAAGACTTTCATACTCTTTCACCCCATCAGGAAGGAGTCCCCCTGAAATGCTAGTGGTTGCAATGCCCTCACTGGTATTCATGAGTACAGAGTGAGCTCAGTTAACCCACAGACACTTGATCTTAGAACACGTTCTCCACCAGCCAAGAACTCTTCTCCCATGTCTTCATATAGTTCTCTTCTTTGCTTCATTTGAGATTCTGCCTAATGTTCCCTGCTGAGAGTGACCTTCCATGACCCTTTACCCCTGTCCCATCTGTCTCTGTCCCCATGATCTTGCCTTGGTCTCCTTGCCAGCACAGATAATTTCCTAACATTTGTTTCTTATTTGCCTTCCTTAGTATGCCTCATGTCTCTGAGGCACCTGAGCATAGCCTGACACCTGGTCAGATTTCTGTACACACACAGTGAATCTGGGCAGAAATATGATACATGGTGGGCATATGGATGAATAGATGGATGGACAGATAGGTAGGTGGACCAATGAGTAGATAGATGGATGGATGAGGAGATGGATGGTGGGTAGATAGATGAATGTGTGGATGGATGGATGGATGGATGGATGGATGGACAAAGTCTATATTATACAGGTATCATAAGGTCAATTTAAACTAGTTTATCCTAAGAAAGAAATGCAATGGCTCACATAACCATTAAGAGAGTGGGAGCCCCTGGGAACAAGAATGAGGCCTCTCTGGATCTTGTCTTTTATCTCTGTTCTTTCCATGAGTTCACTCTCATAGCTGACTTTCCCTGTACTGATGGATGCCAATGCCCCAGAATGAAATACATCTTCCTCATCTCTTATCACTTATCACTCATGGGACACCAGTTTGAAAAATCCCAGGGGAACCCACATATGGGCCCAGTTTGGTCATGTATGCATATTTTGGACAATCTCTATGGCTTAGTAATGTAGGTTACTACTGACCAGCTTCTGGGCTGTGTTTCTAACCTATTGGAGTGGAATAAGCTACTATGAGTGGCAGACTCTATCGGCTTCTCAAATGAAGTGGAAGAATAGGGGATAAGTTCCTGAAAATAAGAGAGTATCTCTGCTCTGACTGGAGAGTGAAACAGCAGACCAAACAAATGACCATTGTCTATTATAGTCATAAGATCCACCCATAAATTTTTAGGTGCCTAATAACAATATTGCACCAAGGAATGTCATCGTCAAGCCATACTGGGCCTCATTTATTCTATAATATTCCAGGAGAGACTGGTATTTTATGTTAGGGCCATCATTTTAAACATCATTTATAAGTTACTCAGTGTACAGGCATTGGTGCTGATAATTCAGGCATCTTTATGGTGGAAACTAGATTTTTTAAAAAATTCTAAGAATGGGTAACTATGTTGACAACAGTTGCTTGTTTGAGCCCAATTGTTCAATTTGTATTCCCAAACAATTCAATCTGAATAACAGCCTACAAAACTTTTCTCTGTCTTTGGAGAGGAAAAAACGTGCCTTAGGTACTTTCCTTTTCTCCTGCCTTGTGATTATATCTTTCTCGTTTGTTATATCATTCTTTGATTCAAATACTTCAAAACACTGGCAGTAGCATAAAGAAGGCTTGTTGTTTGCCAGATTTGGCTTTGTACATCTCCAAGCCTCACAGCAACCCTATAAGACAGGTACTGTTTTTAATCCTCATATGGCAATCGAGATTCAAGGGGGTAACTTTTCTCCTGCCTTGTGATTATATCTTTCTCGTTTGTTATATCATTCTTTGATTCAAATACTTCAAAACACTGGCAGTAGCATAAAGAAGGCTTGTTGTTTGCCAGATTTGGCTTTGTACATCTCCAAGCCTCACAGCAACCCTATGAGCCAGGTACTGTTTTTAATCCTCATATGGCAATCGAGATTCAAGGGGGTAGGCAATGTGCACAGTGTCACATAAGGAGAGAAGATGGGCTTGGATCCAAATGGTCTGGGTCCACAGGTCCTGGTCCCAAGCCCTGTGCTAATCCCTGCAGTTGGTGGAAGCCGTACTTCGTCGGTCACTGCGGGTATCCCTTTGTTTGTTCTCCTCTGCTGTCTTGGCTCACATAGCTGAAGTCCTTGCCAGGACAGGAGGCTGTGGAGACCAGAAGAGGCACAGAGCCAGAATCTGGTGTTCTGCAGAAGATCGTGTAACCCAATGCTGTCATTCATACTTTGCCTTCTCCCTCTGACATCAGCCACATGAAATTAATCGAACAGTCGTGAGTGGTGGTGGCAAGAAAGTCCTGTCAGGCTCTAGAATCAGTTATTGTGGAAGGGTAAAAGGAATTTGGAGAGCAGTTAACCCAATCCCCTAATTTTACTGATGAGAAAATCATTACCCAGAGAAAAACAAGAGGCTTGGATATAATCCCATAGTGTTAGTATTTTCTCCTGCTGTCTAGACCTTATAACACTGGTTCAGGCTGCAGAGTAACTAAGATGCAAAAATGAGATTTGTGCCAATGTGGTTTAACCTGAGTGATCCCTGGCATGTTGTGAAAGCTTAGCCTCTGTTTTCCCTGGGGAATAATTGGGGTATCATGGCTGTTTATAACACCCCTTTCAGACTGAATCATAATAATATTGGGATGTAGACAGATTTCAGAGAAGGATCAATATGTAGGTTTTATTTGCAGTGTTGGCTCTGGGCCTGACAGCTCATAATACTCCCCACCAAATCAGGCCTCAAGAGCAACACACAGACAGATCAGACACTGTCCCAGCCACCATGGTGGGGGTAAGGCATGGCTTGGGCCACCCCATGGAGCATGGTAAGCTGGAGAAAGACCACATGTGGATGCTGATTCTTAACATTCAACCCACTCACTCCATCAAGCAACGTTGGGCAGTGGCTATTGCACATTCACCATAATCAAACCAAGTAATTCAACTTCTCTCATGAGAAAAAGCTAATTGAGAGCATGTTCTTCTCAGTTCTTCAGAGTGTGAAAATTCCTTTCTTGTCTATGAAAGTATGAAAAAGGGTGTGTTCTTGTTTGTACACCTCATGTAACCTTCTGTCTGCTCATGAGCACATTGTTCCTTAGGACACAATACTTTGCCACAGCTCTTCTGGTTCCAATAGTCTGAAG